CAACAGGGTGCGTCTGCTGGATCTAATTGAGGACTACTCTCTTCTAGTAAACAACAGGCTTTTTGAGAAGCAAAAGGGAAGGCTGTGGACGTGGCTGTAACCATCAGGGACGAAATCCCAGATCAACTTCATCCTGACCAGGAGGAAATGGCGTAACTGCCTTTAAGTTATTAACTCTTGCGCCCTCATCAGTGGGATCAGATCATAGAGTGGTGGTTACGAAGGTGCGTCTCAGCCTCCGAGCACCGAGAAAGGCAGTCACAAGAAGTGTGAAGTACGAATGGAAGAAGCTCAAGGGAAATAGCGATCTGCAAGAGAGGTACGCCATAGAAGTTCACAATCGGTTCCAGGTACTGACTGGGGAGGGAAAATCTGCAACTGAACGATATGACAAGTTTGTGAAAGCAAACGAGGAGGCCGCGGAGGTCTGCACGGACAAGGTCCGCAAGGTGAAGAGGAGGGCGAAAGCCTAATCGGATCCTCGTGTCGTCAGGGAGGAGATGGAAGTGGCCTACAGATCTCTTGTAGCAGCCTTCAGCCTCACCAATCGAGTGGTGTACTCCAACAAGAAGAAGGCCCTCGTCAAAACCTATGATCTCATCGAAGAAGAGGTGCTTACCCACAAAATCAGAGAGGTGAAAGTAGCTCGGGTCAACCAAATGCATGCGATGAGCTAGAAGCTGATCAACGAGATAACTGGTAGAAAGTCTTCCAAGCCCTCTCAGATCAAGGGAGCTACAAATGAGCAACGGATTGAGGCATGGTTTAACCACTTCTTGGTGATGAATCAGAGATGATGGAGCAGGCGGAGGTAGAACAAGTGTTCGAGGACCTGGACATATCGAAGATGGTCCCTTCAACGAAGAGGAGTACGTGAAAGCAAAGGGGGCGCTCAAGGCTGGAAAATGCTGTGGGGAGGACAGTGTCGTCCCAGAGGTCCTGAAGTATGTCCCCATAGACGACCTCGTACTCGACTTTGTCAACAAGGCATATGAAAAGGGAGAGATACCAGATCAGTGAAGCAGTATTAATATCATCCCACTTCCGAAGTTGTGTGACCTCACATGCACGGACAACTACCGAGGGATATGTCTTACCTCTTTTGTCGCCAAAACCTTTAACCGGATGGTGCTCAGCCGGATTCGGTCAGTGATGGACCCAATTCTTAGAACTTCACAGAATGGGTTCAGGCAAGAGAGTTCCTCAGTGGGGCACATCATTGCGCTGAGAAGAATTATTGAAGGTGTCAAACAAATACATCTTCCTGCAGTCATCACCTTCATTGACTTCCGCAAGGCATTTCACACAATCCACCGGGTCAAAATGATGAACATCCTCACCGCATACGGATCCCCAGTAAGTTAGTTCAAAGCATTGGGGCGACCTACGCTAACACCTGGGCCAGGGTCACTTCAATGGGTGGTGTCACAGAGAGTTTTGACACCCTGACAGGAGTGCTTCATGGGTGACACCTTGGCCCCTTTTCTCTTCATCAGTGTACTCGACTACGCCCTAATTAAGGCCATCAACGGTACAGAGGAGGAGCTGGGTTTCACCATAGTGCCCCGCAAGAGCTGGCGAGTGTCTCCTGTGATAATCACTGACAAAGACTATGCGGATGACATCGCACTGGTCTCAAATACATTTGAGCAGGCTTGAGCCCTTTTGTTATCGGTTGAGGAGGAGTGTTTGAAGGTTGGTCTACAGCTGAACACAAAGAAGGCCAAGGTGCTCACCTATTACATCAGTGGCACAGCTGTCTGCACGAGAGATGGTACAACTCTCAAGGTTGAATCTGACTACAAGTACGTTGGAGCTTAGATCAGCTCCAGTGAGAAAGACCTCAAGAATCGAAGAGGACAGGCGGGGTCAGTGCTCCACAGATTAAAAAAAATGCGTAAGGCTCCAGGCTAAAAAGTAATTTTAGCTCGAGTCGCGAAAATGTTTTTTCAAGGCTATAGCGGAAAAAGTCGAGGGGGGGGGGGGGCGGATTCCGCCCCAGCCCCTTTAGGGTTAAGCCAGAGTACCGTAACATAATTCCCCCCCGGAAACACTAGTAACAATCAACATGCACTACTGGCATAGGCTTCATTGTTCACCAACTGCCTATCTGTATTTTATTACCATAATCACCTGCAATATCTGCGTAATTAATATTATGCCAACCCATATGCTAAGGGATGTACATATAGTGCAAGTAAAATGTTACTTAATGGCAAAACACAAAACTAAGAAACACAGAGACTAAACTACTCATTTGGAGATGTTATCACATGTTTTTTGTACTTAGGTCGATCCTATAAAGTATTTGGCACCCTTAATGTTTTGACACCTCGGGTGGTACCAATATCTGGTCTGGCCCTTGGACTATAAGGCAAACTGGTTTCTGGTACGCGCGCGCGTCGTTGTAGCCATGCGCGTCGGCAAAAATGTTCAATGTAAGATGATGTCTCAAAACCGCCTACCTCACTGGTTTGACTGGAATCCTGCTGCTGCACAATTTTTACTTGGTTTTAGATGGGGTTACGATTGAGTATAAGCTTTATGTGGCCTCTCTGGACTTCCATATATTTGCACTAAATTTAGGCGAGCACCACTTGCAGTCATCAGCCGACATTTGAAGAGAAAATACGGTAAAAAAAAGCCGCGTCGCCGCACCACTTGTGGGGCAAACTCCATACCAGAAACCGGAAGCTTTTTTCTTTTTGGCCTAAATCCTGAAGTGGAACTTTTTATATGCGAGCGCGGAGCGCGAAGTCCTGAAGAGGTGGACGTGGGGTCCGGGGCCAGCATATAGGGCCCCTGGAAATATTTGGATTCTTGATGCTCTGTGGTGCAATCTCAGGCATTTCCTGGCCACTTTTCACTAATTCTTTTAATAAAATGTGCTGGTGTTTAGGGGGATGGGGTTGGTCATGACAATTGATTTCATCACAAATATCACATCAAAACTGTAGCTTGACTCTCTTTCGAGATGTGCCCTCTTTTGTACTTTGATCTATGATTTTGAGCCGTCACTATTAGAATCAGATCAATTCGTAACTGCATGCGAGTGTCGAGTGAGCACGAGCTTGTGTTTTGCACAGCTGTCAACCGCCGTAAGCGAAGCAAACTCGCGCGGCAGCTCGCGCCGACGTGTACAACTGTATTTGGCATGGATTGCAGAACCGGATTTTAGCTTCGCGAGGTTTTGAGCAGCGGTGTTATTTTTTTTTACATTCTCCATTTTTCTTAGTCCCTCTTTTTTCCCCTTCCCTCTGCATTCTTCATTTTATATTTTGCCGACAGCACCATGATTTTGTCGACAAAACGGACTAACGGGGCGACGCTCGTGATTACCATGCACCGTGAATGTTCGAATGGTGCACGAATGACCTGCTTTCTGTCGATGTTTGCGAAGCCATACAGTTTTATACACGAAATATACTAGATTTTGTTGGTACCGAGGAAGCGAGAAAGAGTGATAAACGGTCTACTCTCTGCATGTACTACCATTGTGTAACTTGCCCAGCGGAACTGAACTTCGAAGAAAACCAGGAACTCAGGACACATGTCCCAGGTTATTTTGCCGAAGCTTGATAATTTTCAGGAAGGCCTGCTTTTCGTGGAAATTGCCAGAGCTTGAGAATTTCAAAGAAGGCCGGTTATTTTGGTCTTCCAGTTGGCTCTATTCCCCATAACACTTTGGATTTCCTAGATGTTATTTAGCCCAGGATCTTGCCTAATCAGGTCTATTAAAGGTATTTCTGGTCGTCTTCTTCCTCTATTTCCATGTGTTGGTGCCCAGAACAGTAGCTGTAAAACTGCCTCATCCACTTGTCTATAATTTGAAACCAAACAAATGAAAGAATGTATTGAAAGGTTTTGTAACTCAACTTGAAATAAAATTAAAAAATGAAATAAAAATGTAAAAAGATATTGTGAATTCAAAATAAAATATTTAATAGACTGATATGCTGCATTTTTCTAGCACTTCCGTTTGAGTATCATTACATCACATTGAAACTACCGGTTTTTTTTCAGGATACAAAATGAAATGAGAAAAATAAGAAACAAAAGAACATTTCAGGAAAGTGATACATTTTTCAACTTAAGGGACTTACATAAGCTTCTGCTCTAATTTTCAGCAATGGATGAATTGAGGGGGTTAGTATTTTATAAAAGATATTGATTAACTGACTTGATTGAAGTTTTGGGCTCGTAGATGCTGGAAAAACCAAGAAAAACAATCATTTGCTTGAAGTCTGGTTCCCCAACCCAACTAATGAAACGGAGCAATGTATAGACGTCGGGGATTGTAAGATTAGGGAATCAGTCTAGCTGGCTTGTACCCGTCCACAGGTGTGTAATCGATTGCAAAGAAAATGCGGACTAACTGAATAAGAATTGGAAGCAGTATTTAAAAAAAGGTATTTTGGTGGTCGGCCGACCGTTGGAAATTGTTACAAACATGCCGATTTCTTGAAATTGTCAGCACACCAGGTGCGATGATTTTACAAGACGCTTTAGAATGTCATTCGCTAACAGTCCAGTTAGGTTTTTCATTATAATTTGGTAGTTTTGTTTTTTGATGTTTGCAAATGTATTATATTCCCTTTCAGCAAAAGTTATATAAAACCTGAAGATTGGAAGAGTCGGGCAGTTATATTGCTTTAATTTTGCATTAAAAAGATAAAATTCCAACTTGATTGACATGGTATTTAAAATGTTCTTAAGCTGAACTTCTGAACTTTAAAGGAAGCTTTTGGAACTGCTGTCAGAAACGTAACGTCAGAGGGTTATGTTTGTAAAAGCTATAATATTTTCTCTTTTCGATACAGTGGCGTAACTGAGGGGCGGGGTAAGGGCACGCCTCCCCCACAAAAAATTAGGATCGTTTCATGCGCGCACGTACCTGTTTTGCCTAATTTAAATATATGCAGCGCGCATTCCCATCAACACTTTCGAAAATGAACTCCGAACCAAACTTTGACATTTCAATCAGAATTGTGCGCAAATTCATGGCACCTTCTGAAGGTGAGCGTGTGCACAAGATTTCCAAAACGTTGGCGTGATGTCTGTTCGTTGGTGATAGCGGTTGGTTGTGATAACGCCCCCTCGCTGTAGACTTTCGCGTTTCTACAACAGCGCCTTCACCCAAGACTAACGTTGCACTTTTTACCGTTGTGTAGTTCTGAATATGGCGAATAGGCCTAGTCCAAGCCAAGACAATGGACTATGTTATGCCATACAAAGGGGACTTGGGGGGTTTCAAAGCTTTGCAAAAGAATCAGATGTTCCCAACTCTTTGAAATGCTTGATTATTCTTCCATTCAAATTGCAGAAATAGACGTCATCAGTCAGCCAGCCAATCAAGAACCACGAACCGCGGCGTATGCAAATACACCAACTACGCACAAAGCTTTCCCACGTGATCAGCTGAACATTATCAAAGAGCTCGGACATGGCGCCTTTGGTCAGGTGCTTCTAGCTGAAGCCTCGGGGATGACACAGGGGTCAAAGGTCACACTGGTTGCTGTCAAGACACTCAAAGGTTATTACTTGTAGCAAAGTTATGATATATTTGTCGGCGGTCATGATGATTTTACAACTTTTGCCAATTTGAAAATTTGAGCAGGAGTTTAAAATAAAGGTTAGGAGATGCAATTGGCAACTAATCAACCCATGTCATTGATTTGTGATATTTCATCCCGTATATCTATGCATTGTAATATTATGCAGATGGAGCCGGCCAGAGCGATAAAGCCGACTTGATAAGGGAGCTAGACCTGATGAAGAAGTTACCAGACCATTGTAATGTAGTCAGGCTCCTTGGATTTTGTGTAGAGGAAGGTAATGCAAAAAAACATTTATTTCTCTGTTTTTAAATTATTTTTTGGTTTGCTTTTGTTTTGTTTTGTTTATTTTTTAGAAAGCTTAGTAAATGCACAGTCTTCCTTTTCTTACAGATCCGCCATACATCATTGTAGAGTATCAATCTAGAGGCAATCTGAAAGACTTGCTTGAAGACAGTCGTAGTAAGGGAAGGCGTGTCTATGGCAACAGGCATGGTCTCAGTAATACCTCCAAGGATCTGATGAAGTTTGCCAATGATGTTGCTGATGGAATGGCCTTCATCTCATCTCAACGGGTAAGCCCGGTTCAGACTGGGATCACTCACTCGCCCATTCCGGAATTTAGTATGTCATCCAAACCAATATTAGTCAGTGAGAAAGCATTGTTTAAAATACACAAAATGTGATTCTGCCAGAGTTAATGAAGTGACATTGTCTTGAATGTATCCCAGTGCATTCACAGGGACCTTGCTGCCCGTAACGTGCTTGTGGCTGAGGACATGACGTGTAAGGTGTCTGATTTTGGACTCGCTCGTGACGTCATGGATATCCGAGTGTATGAACGAAGATCACAGGTTAGTGTTTTGTAGATTACAAAAAAGTCTCGCTATTTATTGATTACAAATAGAAAAAATCATGTTGTACGATGTTATTATGCGGACAAATTTAATTTTGCAGGGTCCACTGCCCATGCGCTGGATGGCTCTTGAGTCTATTTTGAATGACGTGTACACAACAGAGAGTGACGTATGGTCTTATGGCGTACTGCTGTGGGAGATTGTTACACTTGGTAAATAATTGTATTAAAAGCAATCAACCCGAGTGTAAATTGTTTAGTTAGGTGGCACAATAATTAAACAACAAATTCATTCCAACTTAACATCGTTAAGTTGCATGCACAAATATCGTCCCATAGATTGTTGGAGCAATTATATTCACACATTTGATATGATACATTTCCTTACACTTGATTATATTTTGTTTGTTGAAAAAGCTTGTAATTGCCTCACAACCATAAGAGTGGAATAAACTTGGACAAATTGGGACACTGCAGACGACATGTGAATTGGGTGCGTTTATTCTGAAGCAGAGGTTAAAACGTCCCCAAGAGATGAGTGTTCCTTCCTCCATGGCGAGACCTGGGAAGCTCATTACGTGTGCAGTAGTTAATGCACACCAACTTCTTTTGTATTTCCCTTAAAAGCAGGAGTTAGATATGTTTAATAACGTTAATCATTTCGATCTAGATGGCTCTTTCCGTTGCCTCCATGTGTTGCTTGCTACAAATGTTGTTAAGGGACAAAATGATGTTTTCTGGTTTGGTTTTTTTACACTTATTTTGTCAAGGTGCTCGTCCATACCCCGCTATGGCACCGAGTGAGATGATTGATAAGCTTCAGTCTGGCTACCGTATGCCCAAACCACAACACTGTCAGGAGGACTTGTGAGTTTTGTCACATGCATTGCAAATGTTACTTCATAATCCCGTCAAGAAAAACAAGACCTTCTGAAATCAAAAATACAAAATGTTTTAAAATATAGGTTTTCTCGGTCAATTTCGGCAAATGAGCAGCCAATTTAATTTTCGTGCGTTCGAATTGAAGCTATTTTGCCTCTCCAGTTGTTACTGCGTTTCAAATTCAGAATTCGGCCATTCAATTTCGTTTTGAGGCATTCCAATTCCTCTAGCACTGTGTTCAATTTAGCATATCGTCATTCTTTTTTTGACACACAATCATCATTCAATTTAGCAAAGCTGGTTCGACTGGAGATTTTACTGATTAATTTTTTTTTCAATTTCGTAAAGAGGCAGTCAATTTCGCTTAAAGAGAATTCAAATAAGTACAACTAAAGAAATACGAATAAACAGATAAACTGTACTAGGCAACTGTTTCGTATCTTCACTTTAATTCAGGCAAACCTTGTTTTCTTTATTTATGCTTCCAGTAGACTTTACATGGGGCCAATGAGGTTTTTTCTTTTTCTTTGTTTTCTTCTGGGGGGGGGGATCTTTATTGGTTAACTGACCAAGACTTAATTTTGTATTGTGTTTGAATGGGGTGTTTCTTTATGTTTGTCCTGGTTTTTTATTGTTTATGTTGTTTCTTCCTCAACCATTAATCTGTTGGCGTGCCAGACATCTTGGCATATATGTTTGGGTATGGTTGTACCACTGCATGCACTTCACTTGGGTGATGACATCAACGCTCTGGATGGCTGCTTGTTGAAGGAGATCGCACCTCCACTGCTGCATGTTCATTCCTGCTTGCTGGGCAGCCTGTCTGTCTCCGACACGTTGTTGCCACTCAGGTAACCCAAGGATGCGTTTAACTGCAGCCTTGAATGCAGATGTGCCATCTCCGTGCTGTTCAGGAATGGGGAGTAGGGAGGGAGGCGCTTCAGCTGGATCATTGGGTTGGCACCTTCAGGGAGTTGGGCTCGCACGTGAGGCCTCGCATTGTCGTATATGAGGTTAATGGGTTCGTCGTCTGGGAAAACTGCATCACACTCTTGAATTGTGTCCGCAAGAAACTCCTCGAATCTCTCTCGCGTCACAGTTTCGAATGCGATTCGGTGGTGCACCAAGCCTACTTCACTAGAAACAGCGAAGGTGACATTGCAATTTCTCCCTCGTTGTCTGTCGACGACTCGTCTTGCAGCGATCCCTCGTGGAGCTCTACCCTGGGAGCGTCGAGTCCAGACGTTATAACCTGTCTCGTCAATGAAGACTAGATGCGCCAGAACACCATGCTGCAGGAACCACTCACCATACTGGACGCGTTGATCAAGAACTTCAGGGGAATTTCTTGCATCAGGGACGTCCTCCACTAGTTTCAGTGTAATCATCATCCCATCCAAGGCCCTGGCTATGGTGGCAGTAGAAACCTGGGGCTTCTCTTGCAGATGCTCACTCAAACTAGCCCCTATTTGTTGAAGTGTCAAGACGGGATTAGCGTCAAGGATGCCTTGCAGATGGTTTCGCATGTCATCATCCATCTTGCTGTGGGTTGCTCCTCCTCTTGCCAGCGTCTCTCGCCTTCCAGTCCTCAAATATGTTGCAACAATTAATCTGGCTGTGGACTTGTTGATGTTCAAATTGACCGCAAGCTGAAGGTATTATTGCTCGTTTCCCTCAAAGGCCTCAATCAACCTTTCTCGGTCTACCTGGGCCACTCTAGCGTAGCGACCACGAGCTGCCATTTCTAGAAATATGCATGTAAAACTGTAGCGAAAGCTCGTCTTCGAAGTACATCTGCAAAGTGACTCAAGTGCCAAAAAGTGAACCTTATTTTTGCCTTCAACATTCTTAAGGAAACAAAAATTGAACAAAGCGTTTTTAGATTGCACAAATTCCAGAAATGACTGCCCAAAAATGAATTTGAATGACTAAACACACGCCTCAAAAAGCTCCTGCGAATTTGAATGCTGCTTTGTTGAATTGTTAAATTGCATGATTATTTTGTTAAATCGAATGACGCAACAGTACATTTGACTGGTCATAAAACGAAATCGAATGACCCTTTTCAGTAGCATTTGATTTCGCGCCATTTCCGAGTAGGCCTAACTGAGGTGCTATTGCGACACCATCTGTGGGGTACAAGCGAATGCAAAATTATTGATATATTTTTACATTTTGCTTTAATCCTAACAGTACACTATGACAATCTCATTTTTTTTTTTGAATAAAAGTAGGGGGGAAATGTTATTTCTGTTATTTGTATTACCATACTATAGGTTAAAAAATGTGCCTTTTGAACTGTAAAAAACTCAATGCCGGTTTATGAAAATTTCAGATGATTAATTGTTTTAAATTTCTCAACTAAGAGAATGGTTCTGAAAAGAACCAGAGGTATAAACTCGACGTTCCAGTCAGTATGCTCTGACGTCTTCAGAAGACGTCTTCACTCTCCTGAAGACGGTCAGAGCATACTGACCGGAACGTCGAGTTTATACCTCTGGTTCTTTTCAGAACCATTCTCTTAGTTGAGAAATTATCCGCACATGGAGTTTCCGCAAACCTTTCATTATTTAGTATCTCCACCATGCAAAGCCTCAAATCTTACTTAATTGTTTTAAATATTTCATTGTCAGGTATGTGATGATGTTGAGATGTTGGTATGAGGACCCAGGGAGTCGACCAACATTTAAGATGATCAGTAAGGAGCTGGACAAACTCATCGACAAAGGAAAGGTGACTACATCATGAATATTGTAATGCAGTTCATTACGGTCATGAAATGTTTGAGTAAACAAAACCAATGTTTTGATACTTAATTTTTTTCTGCCCTTTGCTGATCACACAAATGTCCAGTGGCCTGATTTATAACCGTTGCAACATTGGGAGAGAATGTTTCATTACTTCTTTAATTCCTAACAAATCATATATAGAGGGTAATTTGGTTTGTATTTGTTGGCAGGAGTACATATCAATCGAGGATATCGAGGAGAGCATCTATGAAGTCGTGCTGAAAGATGATGCGGGCGACAAGGTGTAATTAGTCTATGGGTCATGTGAATGTCTGCATGGCGATCGATGAAGCCGCAGCGGGTTGGAAATTTAACGTACTGAGCAAACCAAATTTACAACGAATAACATTTTGGCTGATGAGCTTACCCTGTAAAATATGAAAACGCTCTATGAAGAAATTTCTGGGCATTTGGGAGGGCCATTCTTTAAATTAAAATGTAGGGACACAGTGAAAACTGACATTTACATTTCTTGTAAATTTACATTTCTTGTAAATTTACATTTCTTTGTAATTGACATTAAAACAGTAGTTTTATACAAAAGCTATGAAAACATAAGGATGAAAACAAAAACATTTTATTTACGGGGAAACTCTAATATTTGTATACGGATAAAAAAAAAACACAAACAACAAAATCAAAACATGTTATAGATTAGACGAATATTTTAACTTGAAGTTTCTTTAAAAAAAATACTATGTATCTAAAGGAAAATGCAACATAAACGTATGTCAGCAAATATATAATTGAAGCTAAGCAGACATTAGTACAGTATGCAGACTTGAAGGTCCTATTGAAAGAATGATACCATTTTCATACTCACATGTCTCGAATTTGGATGCTGTAGGGTTGAGGTTATTTAAATAGAATGATTGTATTTTTTATTACTTTAAATTTTGACCCATTGTTTGTTTTGACCTATTTTAACTAGTTAATTAATATAGTCAGTGAGTGTACACAATTAATGATAAGTTGCTGCCAAAAGTCAAGGCTTGTACATGGCAAAAGAACCAATGGATTTAGAATTAGAATTAGCAAATTTATCAGACCATGAAGTATTTTCAAAAAGTAGGCAAATGGTAGGTATATGGCAATTAGTTTTAATAATGTTGGTAGTTCTCCTACTTTTTTTATTTAAACAGACTAATAAGCGTAACAAGTATTACATTTTTTTAAATATTTTTTATTTTCTTAATTATCTTAAAGGGATATGCAAAAAAGGGACACATTTAGTCCTTATATTTAAATGTAAATAGATGCGAAAAGGTCATTGCCGTATATTTTTTGAATTTCTTAAACCGCCTTATACAATTCGGTACACATAGTAAAACAAACCTGGCAGTTAACTGTCTGATTTTAACATTATGCCTACCCTCAAAGACAAAGAGTGTTACAAGTTTAGTTTAGACTGATGGTACTCGACTTTGCATTATTCTTAACAGAAGTCAATACGTGTACTCAGTAATGGCTAAAGTTATGATTATATGGTTCTAGTTATAGCTATAAGCACAATATGTGCATATAAAGTATTTATAATTATATTATAATTTCTTTGCCAAGGCTGGAATGGGATTGTTCGGTCGTTTCAAGTTCTCTACCATGTTAGCACGAACATATTCCAGACGAAAAAAAAAACCTTTAAAAAAACACATTTAGAGGGTTGTAGAAGCCATGCTCAGAAGACGTTAATATGCTTAACAAGAACATGAAATCCGTTATAGAAGAATCAAAACGAAACAAACATAATGTTGAAGAGTTTTACTGAAATTGCTCAATCCGTTCAGCGTTAATCACACCATTTAAACGCAATGACCCTAGAACCTCTTTCGTCCACCAAGAAAAGGAGCAATTTACAGAGCGTTCTAACTGTTTGTAACAATAAAGAAGATGACATAGATTACTTGTTTCAATAACTGTAGTACACACTATCTTTACTAACAATTGTGCTTAGGCAAACAATAAATAAATTTAATTTTCTTAAAAGACGGGCCCTCAAAAGGACGTTGTTGAATATTTGTAACTTTTAAACTGAGGTTTTATCACTGATGATGTTTGCAGACAATGCTTGCTTGGACGTTCAGGGGATAGCCATTGTGAATCAATTGAATGGGATGTTGTTCACTCTGGAACCAGCTATAATAGAATTGCTTTGTCTTGCTTTCAGACAACCACAATGAATTGTGAGGTATTTGTAGGGCGAATCCAGCATTCAGGAAACGGGGAGTTCGATCTTGATTTTCCCAAAAATCATACTCCTCTAAATGGCGTCACTGTTCCCAATTCTCCCTCTATAATTATCCTAATAGCTATGACGGTTAGTGTTCCCCATTTACCCTCTAAAAACTATCCTCCTAGCAATGACGGATAGTGTTCCCCATTTCCCCTTAAAGAAATCCCCCAAGCCATGACGGTTAACGTTCCCCATTTTTCCTCATTAAATATCCTGGGAGCCATGACGAATAGCGTTCTTTATTTTCCATCCAAACGTAGAGCGTTTAATTCGTGTAATATTAATTTGTTGCTTAATTTGAATTGAAATAAATTTAAGTTGTCAATATCCACTCAATAAACTTTTTCTCAACTGACGTTCACTCGGTTTACTGTCGTTGCCACTAAACCTTTAAAACGTTTTAAAATGGCTTTATAATAATGTGTGTATACTGTAATCATGAAGATACGTTATTATACATCGAATGAGAAATGACATAAGTGTCATCGTCTACTTAAACTACACTAGAGATCCTTAATTTGCCTTCCGTTATAAGGCTGTTTGATAATTCAAGTATCCACGAGTTCGATGGTTATGCGATGATGAATATCATTAGCAACTCCGTGCGAAAGTATTCTCGTTCACTGTCTCTCCCTTCATTACCTTAAACTTTTGTATCACCTCGATCGTGCCGAGCTTGACAGTGATTGGATCTTTTACTGGTCGTCAAGCTCATCAAAAGGCACTTTTGCGAACGGTTTCAACCCCCTTTCAACCACGGAAATCGTCTGATCGTCTGACGTATCGCGAGGTACGTTTTATTGCTGCATACTTTAGGTTTATAGCTTTATAAAAACAACGGAATGTTGATATGAAAGGGGGATGTTGAGTGATAGCGTGCCGAAGGCACTCCCTGCTGTTGTGAGGGCGGAGTCGGGGTGCCTCCTTCCTCCTTGGAAATCTACGATTTTTTTTTTTGTAATAAAAACAAAACCCTTTGCATACCTTTCCAGTTATAATACAAGTACATGTACCAATATGTTCATTTGTTCTTTAAAATAAAATAACGGTTTATAAAATGTTCACAAATGAAATAACAGTGTATTGCAAGCGAACTTAAAGAGATCCGAGTATAATGCATTGATTAAACTTTTTTCAGATGGAATTTAAATGCATAATATATTTCACCTCAGGACTTTCCTCAGACATAATTTAGTTAAGAAACCCTGAAAATAATGATCATAATACCATAACACCTTTAAACATGTAGATGCATTATTTGACATTACGTTGATAAGCACATAATTGCTCTAAACAAGGTGCAAGCTAATATGTCACGTGATGGTAATTACTTGTGTTCACCTGATTCTTTGTTTTCTTCTGCTAGGCAGCAGGATGGAATATAGATCAACACTGAAGACGATCTATATTTTATGTCATAGGCGTGTAATCAGATTGATTGGCAGAGCCGTATGCCAGGAAGCACAGGATGGTTTTGGTGATATATACAAAGACAATCCAAAATTATCGACGTGCATTTTTATATTCAAACAAAATTGCGCAATATTTTATTTTACAGATGACTAAACTATTAAAACTTTTCACCAGCATCTTCCGTCAGCACAACTTCATAAACGGTTTCTTGGAAATCCTTGATCGATATGTATTCCTGTGAAAAAAAAAAACAAATCAAATCACTCATTATCTAGTTTGATAGGAATAAGCAACCACTTGCCTACTTGCAATTACCTGCCCACATTTGCAATAATAATAAAATAAAATAATACTACTACTAATGTGGTTCTTATACAGCACTTTATAAAAAAAGGTCTCAAAGCGCTTCACAATTATTACCCCTGTTCATCAGGCCATTAGACCGTGAGTTTCGCAGCAGCTCGAAATCGGCGCATTCTGGTCTCTACCTTTAAGGGTACCCATTTATACTCCTGGGTGAAGCACCAGGCATCATTACCCACGTACCACGGCACGCAAGTCGAACACCGTAACCATTGGACCACAGAGCTCCAATTCAGGTCTGCAATTTTGTTTTACAGATGTTAGGAATTTACCATGAACTGCCGTCTCGTTATTAGTTTCTCCTAAATTCATGTTTTAATACCCATTTCCCGTGTTAATGTTTTTCTATTCGGAACGATACCCTTTTCTGTAAGATAACAGTTTCCTTTACCAAAAAAAGGTTACGGCTTTTGAGACGGAAGATTGGAACTTTACAGCTTCGTTTTTAACCTGACAATTGTAATCATAACAAAATTTTCTTGACCTCTCACCTTTCCTTTGTTGATGAGTTTGCTCAGCTCCTTACTGATCATCTTAAATGTCGGTCGACTCTCTGGATCCTCATCCCAACATCTCAACATCATCACATACCTGACATTGTTGATACAACATGTTCAATAATTATCTGGTTGGTCAACAAACAGCAATACACACTTCACTCCCGGGTGAAAGAAATAAAGGTGAAATCATTACAATGAAATAAGATGTACATTTACTCAAATGAGGGCACTATAGAATCCCCCGACTGAGTCATAAGAATAGAAAGAAGCTAGGCCTATCAATTAATCCTTACCAATTTTGTTTTTGTTTTCAATATCTACAGTTCATGAAAGTCTACTTTTTGAACTGTCATGTAGATTTTTATGTCACTAATTCAGAATTTGCATCAGTTGGTTCCTTACTTAATGTTTCGCTGCATCAGCGACCGCATTCACTCAAAACACAATGACCAAATGACCTTGGGACCTTATGACCTTATTTTGCATTCAACAAATCCTTTACGTATAATTTGGAAGGAGGTCGTAATGTTTTACATGAAGATAAAGTGACATTTTCAGTGTACATGGTCCAACTTACAATTCCTCCTGACAGTGTTGTGGTTTGGGCATACGGTAGCCAGACCGAAGCTCACCAACCATTATCTTTGCTGTCATAGCAGGGTATGGACGGGCACCTAATAAAACAATGAAACATAAAAAAAGAATCTATTTAAATCATGTTCAAACAACCCTTACCAACTTTAACTCACTTTACGACTAGTAGGCATAATCCAAGTACATCTGCAACACACCGTAACGTACCTCATGATCAGATTTTTTTTTTTTTTCTTCAAACCTTACACTCTTGTAGTTTCAGCCGACAGGCTTTTCTTAAAGCACGGTTGCTTGAATAAGGACACAATAAACAGCATCCCTCAGAAACATTACAAGCTTTGTGTACGACTATTACAGGTACTAAAAAAAACCCACCTATACCGAATAACAGAAACCTTGCTCAAATTAAATATGTTATCGGCTGAAACGGTATCGTTTGGAAGAAAGTAACAATTAGAGGTGGTTTCAACTCGGGCATATGAAGCTTATTTACATGCGTAAGCAACGACATTCAGTTACGAGACCCAACAATACATTTAATAAAACAATTAATATTGACAAATGTATGGCTGATTTTAATATACTAATTACCAAGTGTAACTATCTCCCACAGAAGTACGCCATAAGACCATACGTCACTCTCTGTTGTGTACACGTCATCCAAAATGGACTCAAGGGCCATCCAGCGCATGGGCAGTGCACCCTGCAAACAATTTTTTAATTATTCAAATGTGTTCTCCAGAATAAAGACACTAAGGTTAAATTTCTGAGGGAGCACCCTGGGGTGTACAGTTTCTCCTGAAGACGGTCAGAGCATACTGACCGGAACGTCGAGTTCTCTTAGTTGAGAAATTATTCGCACATGGTGTTTCCGCAAACCTTTCATTATTTAGTATCTCCACCATGCAAAGCCTCAAATCTTACTTAGGTGCAATTAAGGCATTATGGTACATTGTTATGGGTCAATTTCAGATTTTAAACGGCGGGATGGGGGCACCGGGAGCAGCCAGTGGCACCCGGCGGGCACCCTTTGGCGCCCTGGGGCACGGGTATTCATTGGGGGCTCGTCCCTTCCCTCCCCGCCTCCCGTTCTGCCCCCCCCCCCCCCCATACGCAACTTAATTTCCACCACAGGCACATACCTCTGAACCCCGTTCATACACTCGGATATTCATGACGTCACGAGCGAGTCCGAAATCAGACACCTTACACGTCATGTCCTCAGCCACAAGCACGTTACGGGCAGCAAGGTCCCTGTGAATGCACTGTGTGAGAATCAAGAAGTTTGCCAGTTAAAAAAAGAGAGCTAAATGACATGCATCATGAAGTAATGGTTCATGTTCTCGACCGACTAAAATAAAGCCGAACGTGTTGATTATATTCTCAGTTCAATGACTAAGAATGTTTACCTGTTGAGATGAGATGAAGGCCATTCCATCAGCGGCATCCTTGGCAAACTTCATCAGATCCTTGGAGGTAAGTGACTTACTGATACCATGCAGGTTGCCATAGACACGCCCTCCCTTACTACGACTGTCTTTAAGAAGGTCTTTCAGGTTGCCTCTGGTCAGATACTCCACTATGATGTATGGCGGGTCTAATTGTAGAAAGGTTTGAATAATCTGACACTATCACGATTTCATATTTGTAACAAAGTTTCAAAATCACTTACCACTGGACAAAGAACCATTCGGTAGAGAGAAATTGAATTAGCATCCCGAATGAAATTTTGTTAAACCAATATCAAAAATATAAAATCGTTCACTGGGTCTCAAAAAACCCCAAAATTACAAAATTAATTTCATTTTGTCAAAACTAATTTACTTTGCTTTCAAATGCAAAGTCTATCGATCCCCCCTGTGCCTCCTGAATTATATTATAAAGGTACAGTGGGCGAAGCTTGTCAAAGACGAAAACTGAAGGGTTTGTTTAAAAAAACTGTACAATACAGTGTCAGTACACAAACCAACTCCGACCACTATGACGCATCAGTTATTATCAGTTTCACATGGTGGCTAGAAATTCGTATACCTTTCTCTACACAGAATCCAAGGAGCCTGACTACATTACAATGGTCTGGTAACTTCTTCATCAGGTCTAGCTCCCTCATCATATCGGCTTTATCACTCTTGTTGACTTCCTCTGCAGAATTCAAATTGATAAAAAAAACACACCGAAATGTTCTGAAACTGTTTCATAGCTTGCCACAAGCAGAATAAAAACGAAGATCTTTTTTGAGTTATATTGGAATTTCACAATTACAAAGAAATCTCTGCCGACTCAATCATATTATTGGGGCAATTCACAAGCTGAAACAAAATGTGATGAAAAAATTAATGTGATTAATTGTTCATCCCATGATACACGTGCATCCAATATGTAAACTGATGACAGTAGTCCTAAATATGCCAGGTTTGTAGATAGGAATGACAAGATAGGTTGATAAATAAAGTCGAACTGATGATAGACTGGTAACTACTGTTTAATTAGTAATGAGTGTAACTATCACCACGATCTTTCTCGCCTCGTAACTGCAATAATTGTTTTTGGTTGGTCATTCCACTCTATAAACTGGCAATAGTTGATTTTTAAATTTTTTTTTCAACTCACCTTTGAGTGTCTTAACAGCAACCAATTTGACCTTTGACCCATGTGTTATCCCCGAAGCCTCAGCTAGAAGCACCTGACCAAAGGCGCCATGTCCGAGCTCTTTGATGATCTTCAGCTGATCACGTGGGAAGGCCTTGTGGGCAGTCTGGACATTTGCATAGGCTGCGGTTCCTAGTTCCTGATTGGCTGGATTACCAAGTACTTCTAATTCTGAAATTTTTAAATGAGTATAAAGTAATGACTACGAATTCGACCTCAGTTAGGCGAGAAAATGTTTTTAGAGATTCACCGTAGTTTGTGGTTGAATACGGCGACACCACTGATGTCTTCGATTTACATATGCAGTTCCCATTTGTGTCGTTATTTTTGTAGCATTTTATTTCATGCGGCCTCACTTTGACCAGGGCAAGAACTCGAAAATGACTTAAACCTATTCCTAACATTCGCTTAATCATACCTGTTATGTCTTGATAGGGTGACTGTGTGTCTTCTTGCGGATTCTTGACTTTTGGACGGACGTCTTTCCTGCAGAAAGGCAAAGTGAAAAGGAAAATCGATATTCAATGGTGATCTATAGCACCTATAGTTCGGACTTCGTCAGTTATGTGTAGCAGCGATAAAAAGCAGATTCAAACGCAAGAATCTAAAAACTTACACTGTCTCTCTTAACGTTTCTCTGTCACCTGAAATCAAAAAGAAAAACAATGAGATCTCTATGTTTGCTCAGAAGATAATTCCTAGTTTAATTGAGGGTTAAGGGTTTAACAGGTTAATGACAATTCCACAGTAGCTCGTGATACGTTCAAATGGGTGTCTTCCTTCAACTCTATGCTTTTATTCTATGAAGTCAAAGCGTTGAAGGTGGATTTTTTTTAACAGAAGATTCCTATATGTTAAATGACTACATAAAAGAGGTCAACAATAAGATATTTATCCGCGCCGTTCACAAGCACCCCCTCACCGGCAAAGGAAGTACAGTTGAGGATGACCGACCGACGCCATCTTGCCTGACTGCAATTCATTTGCCGCGAACCACGGCCACTGCATGTAAGGGTGCACATCGTTAAATCGATCCGCCAGGCTCGTGAATAAAAGTTACACCCTCAAAATATTCTATATTAGAGAGTTCTGAGCGCCGTAACATTGGGGAATTGAAGAGATGTGGTAATGAACCTCTGGCCCGGACTTGGGGCTTCCAATTCCGAGCATTTTGGATGTTATTGGGCTCAAAAGTGGCGCTATTATGCCATGTTGTGGAGGGATCGTTTTTCAAGATGGCTACTTTTCCGCTTTGCGGAAAATAGGGGTCGTCTTCTTTGGGTGAAAATATCTCGAAAAGTCAATGGTCAACCCACCAAAAATTGAAAAGAAAATGAAAGATGACATGTTGATTATCATTTTTCTGTGCAGCTTCAATACCTGTGAGAGTTTTGAGTATTTTTAAAAGAATTTTGAAGTATGGGCATTTAGCACTAGTGTCTATGGGAGTTTATTTGCAGGTATGCATCCGTAAATAGAACAACTCCCCTGGTGTACGTGCGTCACACACAAGGAACGGTGCGCGTCAACCAGCGAAATGTCCCGCCCAAGGGACGTCGTTGTTAGGTAAAAGGGCAATGCCTTTGCAAAAATGGCATTGCAAATAATTATATGCATCGCATTTGAAAATTTCCTAATATTGTGCAACGTGTGAAGAACTTTTTTAGTGTCCCTGTGTCATTAGGGTGTTAGTCTTTTGCTAGCATAACGGATATTAAAAAAACAAATCAATCATCAAATCTCTAACCATTTTCCATCTCATGAAATACAATTCAAGTGAACTGTCGCATTGCCTTCTTTAAATTGATACTGTGGTTTTGATGCTTGTAGATCTAACAGTTGCATAGATTTTTCACTTTTTGCCCACGTCCACTTTTCCCCTGGAATTATCCACAGTGTGGAGAGATGGGGCGTGTGAATGTTTAAAATATACGGTCATTTCTATTATTTGTACACTTATTTTGTGATTTACCAAATGGCTGTCTACTAACACTCCTCGTCTAACACCCACAAGAGAGTTCCTTTTTAAAACCGACCACCAAGACGATACAGATGTCAATCTTACCGTTGTTGTGTTTCCCAAATTTTCTCTTTGCATAGACTCCGAGCACAACGATGACACTTAACACGACAACACCAACGACGACACCGACGATGACACCAGTACTGTCATTTGGCTCGCCGGGCTCAGGAGGCAAATCTATCAATTGGAAACAATACAATATTGTCATTCGTCTTAATAAAAACGAGGAATTTAAATCAAATCAAGCTTTGCTAATCATTTTTCAGAACGTAGCCATTCATTGTATTTTTTTATCAATAAAATCAAGTTCTGCAGTCAAATGGGAGGAAATGTAAAATCCTGATATTGCAGCAAAAATATAAACCACTGTTTATCTAATGTGACATTTTGATCATTAAATTTTGATTTTTTAAAGCTTAGCAAGACAAAAGTTTTGATAGTAAACTCAACAATCTCAACCGGCGAATACAGTAGGACTATCATGTTTCAGTCATCCTAACAACATGACTTTGTCAAGGATTACCTTCCTTGGCATCTGCTGGTTGACTACACAAACCACCAATGCAAAGTTTGGAGCGGACGGCTTCAATGGCCCCTACAGCTCGTCTTTTTCGCTTCTGTGATGATGCACAATGATCAGGGAGGGTCACTGTCTGATCAGACTCAATGCAAGCTCCACACTCCTGCCAAGTGTCGTTGCCTTGGTATCGGACTTCCAGCTGGATGCATGCATTCTCCTCCTTCAGCCCTCCAACTTCTACAGTTCCATCTTTCTTGTTAAACCCCACAGCGATCCCTGATAATTGGATATTCAAATCATGTATGTAACACAAGTGGCAATATAAAAAGAGAGCATACTGAGTTAAATTTTAACCCACGAGCGCGAGTGGAACATGGAAGAACGTAGTGCGTCAGTGTCCCACATGCCATGAGGCAGAATGCCGGGTGGTGTGTGGGATGCAAACGCACTACATTTTCGGTGTTTCACGAGCACAAGAAGTGGAATAATAATTTATTTCGTTTAGTTATTTCTCAAAGTAAAGATGGAACATGCACGCTCTACGCGGAATTTTTCAGCCAGCGGTTATCATGTTACACTTGTATATAGTGGGAAAGGAATGTACATGTACATCCTATATATAGCACGATACGCGGAGTGCTGTAAAACCGTAAACAGTGGAGTAATGTATCAAGGTTAGCTTGTTACAACTGATAATGTAGTAACCAACGAATAACGTATCACCAACCGATAATGTATCACAAATTGACCGATATTGTATCACTAACCGATAATGTAGCACAAATTGACTGATAGTGCATTAAAATTTGTATCCGATAATGTATCACGTGTCGACGGATAATGTAACTACAAAATAACTGTATCCGATAATGTATCACCTCGGAACGGATACTGTATCAACCAATAAAGTATCAAAAATCAACCGATTAAGTATCAGTATGGGGAAAAGGTGTACACAAATGTTTGTTTCATGTCCTATATATCCCGCCCCACGTTTTGACCGGGGAGGGGGTCTGGGCTATTGAATCCCCCCCCCTCCATTTCGTCTTTAGAGAAAAAAGGCAGATTTTGAGGTATTTTTTAAACTTTCCAACCGCCGAAATAGTACTGAGAAAGGGAGAAAAAGTACAAAAAGCTTGAAATCCGCTGATACATTTGTATTATGAACAGCGCCCCCAGTGTCATGTGGTCTCCAGCAAGCCCCCCCCCCCTCTTTTTGAATTTCAAGGCCGGATTTTTTTTTTTTTTTTTTAGCTATCCCCCATGCCCCAGTCCCCGGCACAGATTTACGCCACTGTTGCAAGGGCGGACCCAGGAATTTTTGCAGGGGCAGGGGGTTTCATCAGCAAAAAAATCTGAAAATGTACACACGTTAATTTTTTTCTCCGGACACTTGGCCTCCGTAAAATCAAAAACTGGGGGTACCATATTTCAATAGGGGGCGCTGTTCAAATTCGACGATTATTTACACTGTTTTACAGAATGGTGTACAAATACCCCCTATCTAAGCTGCCTCCGTCCGTATTTTGAACAGGCGGACATTATACCTGTATGTTTTTTGGGGGGAGGGTGTTACAGCTGGGGGGAGGGGGTTTGACCCCTAACCCCCCCCCCCCCTCCCGGATCCGTGCCTGTGTTGGCCTCAAGGGTGCGGCAGGCTCGTGACGTTTGGACTGCAAACTGTCAGTGGGTGGACAAATAACAAATGACGTCACATGCCAACGGTGCCCCCCCCCCCTTAAAACAAAAGCCAGGGCATTTGTACGGTACAGTAATATAGTGAACATGATTGTAGGATTTTATCAGCGCTCCCCGTTGAAAATATGCCACGATACGGAGCCCATACGGAGGCCAAGTGTCCGGAGAAAAAAACTTGTCCACATTAATTTCGGCGCGGATGTGCGAGGGCGGTTAACCCCCCCCCCCCCACACACACACACACCCGACATCAAAAGCTGGGTACACCACTAGCCTAGGCCCACTTGGAAGTAGAGCGTCTCCAAACCAGAGCAACTCCCTCCCAAATTAAAAAAAAAAAGTTCTTAATGATAAACTTTCCCGAGTGGGGACTCATCATAGTAAAGGCACTTACTATAGTCAGGTGGCTTAGACCCAATATTTGACAAGATCGTGACCAACTGGTCCAAAGCACCAAACTTAGCAAATATGTTGTTATAGCCTTATAGAAGATATTTTGAAGGGGTGACACCAGAAATTCTTTTGGGAAGGGTGCCTAATTTGCATAAATCTTTAATCCCTAATGTGTAATACATAATCAGTGGTGTAGCCAGGAATTTTTCATGGGGGGGGGGGGGGGGCTGGAACATATCATGGGGGGGGGGGCGTCATGTAGATCAATGATATTTTTTTTAAAAACTCAAAATCTCAGTGGGGGGCGACTGGGGGGCGACAAGGTTTCATGGGGAGGGCAGTCGCCCCCACGCCCCCCCCCCCACCCCCCCGGCTACGCCACTGTACATAATGAAGTTGGTCCACCCTCATCTGTGCAAGTTGGCACATACAGATATTTTGTTTTCACTTTGTTTCCTCGTATGTGTTGACATAATTCAATGATGATGATGCCACTTTAAGGTTGAGGGGAGGCATGTGACATGTATCGATAATACTTAAAAAAAAAAAAAAAAGCAGCAAAGATGGGAGTTACATGACATACGGAATTAGTCACATGACAGGAACGGAATTTAAGAGGAAACATCAAACACATCCAAATTTATTTCCGTTTATTGTACCCATGCACTTGGTCCTTTCTACAGTTTAGTTTTCTCATACAAAGCCAGCCGCAAAGAGGTCAGTAATGACACAAACAGAATTTAAGGGGAAACATCAAACACATCAAAACTCATTTCCGTTTATTTAACTCACACTTGGTCCTTTCTACAGTTTGTTTTCTCATTCAAAACCAGCCGCAAAGAGGTCAGTAATGACACAAACAGAATTTAAGGGGAAGCATCAAACACATCAAAACTTATTTCCGTTTATTTTACCCACACTTGGTCCTCTCCAAATGTCTTTTTTTTCCACTCATAATTATCCGTGATAAAGTACCGTACATCGAAATGTCTCGTATATTACCAATATCATTTGTTAAAGGCATATATCATTTGCATTTATCCGAAAAGTAAATACCGACTAATTATCGACAAGCTTACTAAGTTTTGGATTATAGACTAGTACCGTACACCCCGTGCAATTTATTGTAGGTGAATCCCAACGATCAGTTAATATTAACTGACTTTTGAAAAAAGAGTGCTATTGACGAAATCGTGTGTCGCGATCATGTGTATTGTTTTTGTTTTCTCGAAAAGTGTACTATCCACTGAGCTGAAACTTCAACAGAATTTGAGTGGTGTTACCCGTTTTATTATTGGAAACAACCAAGATGCATGAAAAGCAAATGACCCTATAGGCTTTTTATAAGTCCATGCACACCCTGCCTATGGGGAAGAAAGATTCGAGCGTAGAAACCAGAGTCTGAACAAGCAACCTTGCTGAGGAGGGTGAGCGGGGCAAAAAAAAACAGGCGCCCCATATGTCCAAACTCGAGAGGATAACTTAAATCTCCTTTACCTTACCCCTTCTGCTTCACCTCACGGTTCATCCCTGCCACAGCCGGTGCAGCATGAATTTAGGTTTTATGAAATACGGACTCATTGGTGATATTGCGCATGCTCATGCATGGATAATTAGGGGGGGACCGGTCACGTGAGAGGGTTTAACCAATAAAAGGGAAAAAGAGTCCGATTTTAATACAAGTCCGATTTTCATATGACACCGGATTAAACTTCTGATGTATACTCGTCCGCCCTCTACGTCATTAGCGGTGCAAATAGGTTGAAAATACCAAAAGCGAGTATGTAGGCCTACATCATCATTTAGCGGTCGCAACCGGGATCTCGTTCACAACGCCTCGCCACAGTTTGCTTTATTTATTCGCATGCATGCACATGTGCTGCAGGAGTCTACGTGTGCGTTGTTGATTTGATTTTCTCAATACATGCACATGTTTTTGATAAAACCGAAATCCAAGGGAATAACGACCCACATCAGTTGAAACGATATTTGCGCAGTGTTCATCGTGGGGCACAACGTTTGTCGATTTGTGCTGCCGCGGTTTGCGTCGGTTAATGAGAAGCGGTCACAATTGGTTTATATAATTATTTAACGTTGTAATGGCATATAGTTGTCTCTAGGCTCGGTACTTCCCTGGCACTGCATTTACATTGCTAGCACATGTACCCGGTTCAAAATAGCTTGGGACCATTTTTTTGTTATTATAAATTGATAAACAATATCAAAACTTTACAAATTTAGTAAATTATTATTAGCTTTATGCCATCTATGATTAAAATCATTTACGCCCGGTATACTAATACTACGTGAGTATAAACGCAAATATGTTTTACGATTTATGAATGTATGTATTGTCTTTTACCTCGCTTTCTTCTTGGAGAACCAAGACAATGCTGTCACCAAAGTATGCACAGTTTCTAATAATGTGCGCTTCCATGTACTATTCATCGGGTGATGATTGACCTATCCGAGGACCGATTTCTCTTCTAAACTTACACAATTATTTTCAAATATTGGATCGAGCGAGCACAGATTATACACCGTCTGGGACTCTCCAAAGCTAAGCATGTGTCAAAGTGTGCGTCTGTATTTTCGACTTTCCTGCCTTTTCTTTTCCCCTCATGATAGTCAGGTGGCTTAGACCCAATTTTTGATAAGATCGTGACCAACTGGTCCAAAGCACCAAACTTTGCAAATATGTTGTTATAGCCTTAGAGAAGATATTTTGAAGGGGTGACCCTGAGATTCTTTTGGGAAGAGTGCCTAATTTGCTTAATCCCTACCGTGTATTACATTTATTCCCACATTTGAGTACTTTTTTTTTTTTAAAGTATATTTTGGGGATTCTACTTACACATCCTTACTTCAATAACATGTTCTAAAACATTTAAGATAATTATGAGGACATAGTAACGATTCAAAATGGCTACTATTACATTCTAAAGTTGCGCTCATTAACCTTGTCTCCAGATATAATCAAGTAGTCTTGCCAAATAGTATTGATGAGCTTCAAATTCACCAAGTTGCTAACTGGCACAGTTACTCGATTTAGACTTCATGCCTCCCCTCAAATCAAGTGGACAACAACATTGTGCTATTTAGCTCAGAACACAAAAACGGGGAGCTTGATCAAGTCCTCCACGTCAGGCTTCAAGTAATTTTAGCCCAATTTACGGACACCTCATTTCTCCCCTTTTTGTTTTTGTGGGCTAAATATCAAGATGATATAATTTTCACATGATTTCCCATTTATTTTTGTTAGGATAACTGGGTCATTAAGTAACTTTGTGAATTTGAAGTTCATCAATACTGAGGTTTGGCAAACTACTTGATAATATCTGAGGGAAAAGGAAATGGATCTTTATTATGTCCTCATAATCTTCAAGTCTCCGATATCCTTTAGAAAATGTTATTTAAGTAAGGATATGTAAGTAAATTCCCAAAATATACTTTTCAAAAAAAAAAAAATCTACCCAAATATGGGAATAGATATATTACACGACAGGGATTAACGCTTTATGCAAGTTAGGCACTCTTCCCAAAAGAATTTCAGGTGTCACCTCTTCTAAATATCTTCTCTGGGGCTATAAGAATCTATCTGCCAAGTTTGGTGCTTTGGACTAGTCGGCCACGATTCCAACCGTATGCAACCTGACTATTAGACTTTAATTAATTTGCAATATTTTCACCTTTTCCAAATATACTGATACATTATCGGTTGATTTTTGATACATTATCGGTTGATACAGTATCCGTTCCGAGGTGATACATTATCGGATACAGTTATTTTGTAGTTACATTATCCGTCGACACGTGATACATTATCGGATACAAATTTTACTACACTATCGGTCAATTTTTGCTACATTATCGGTTAGTGATACAATATCGGTCAATTTGTGATACATTATCGGTTGGTGATACGTTATCCGTTGGTTACTACATTATCAGTTGTAACATAGCTTGCCATAGATCGACCGATAAGAATTGAAGATCCAAGTTTGCTTGAATGCACTTTTTATACTGTCCATTAAACACGTATACAACTGTATACGTGTCACAGCTTTGAGATGTATTTGTTTGTGAAAAGACAAAGTGATATTCAACAAACCCACGTAGATATTCGAATTGAACGTACCTGAGTCTGGGCCTGGTGCTCTCGCTATAAGAAAAAAAATAAAGATTTTAAGAATTTTTTTTCACATACTGGGGCGGACACAGGAATATTTGCGGGGGGGGGGGGTGTTTCCAGGCCCGTCAGATTTTTTTGTATATCCCTAGTACTGAAATGTAGACAAGTTTCTTTCTTTTTTCCTGGACACTTTAATAGCCTCCGTCAAATCAAAAGGAACGGGGGTGGGGGGGGGGGTGGCGGGTGGGGGTGGTGGTGGGGGGTTCTGGTACCTTTTTGTAATAGGGGCGCAATGTTCAAATATGACGATCAACTACCTCCCCCCCCCCCCCCCCCCCCACCACCGTTGGCCATGCATCTGTGTTGCGGACAGGTTGACATTATACCACATTATTAATACTTTAATTGTAAACAAAAAAATGAGTCAGAAGGGGGGGGGGGCACATTAGCATTTCTTTAAGTTTAAGATTTTTATTAAAAAATCTTAAACCGCGCCTGGCATAGACCTGGGTGCAAAGTACGACACAGTCGGAACTGTGTGCTGCCTTTCCGAGAACAGATTTGAAATTCAGTTATGGTTCTCTATAATTATGTTAACTATTCATGTTTGTGCTTTAACTTTCGTGTATATAATAGTGCAATTCAACTGCCCCGTTATCGGTATAACTTGGGGATTTATGGTGCGGATTCAGTAAGGCAACAGGTGGAAACAGACACAGGCATGTTGGCAAGGGGCATGAGGGAAATAAAAAAGAAATATACAACACAAATGTTTAAAATGAACTTTTCTACACTGCACCATTACATTATATTGTTCACCATGGACACGTGATGATCTGTAGGGGGAAGGGTGATACATGTACATCTACACTGTTGACGAAATGGACAGAATCAAACCCCCTTCCTCTGGTATCTTTTTCTTGAAGGTAATAATTTTGTCTTGTCAGCATTACATTGCAAGGAAGCAAGTACTCTACATATACAAATTGTACATATTGTATGACAGTAGCGTGATAAGACAGTAGCACATCTGCGTACATACACCTGCACGTTTCTTTACGGTGTAATTCGAGGATTCCCCATTGTTCCTCTTCCTCATTCCTTTGTTTGTACCTATACTTTTTTTTTGCAACAGCTAACATTGGTTTTGTACACGTTTTCTAATCGAGGTCGTCCCCGATTTTATTCCTTACCTGCAATCAGGGACCCCTTTTTTTTGTCCCTCTAATCTGTTTAGGAAGACCCAGCTATTATGTTTTGTACACGAATCCAAATTGGGGACCTCTCGGGAATTGCGAACCTTATTGTCCTCTATTGTTCAACGTCCCCTATTGAATACAGAAACAAACTCACCCACACAATGTTTATGGATACAGAATCTTTTTTTGTATAAACAGCGCCACCTAGATACAATATGCAGTGGCGGGGGGGGGGCCGTGGGGGGCGACAGCCCCCCCCCCCCCTGAAACCTTGTCGCCCCCCCCCAGTCGCCCCCACTGAGATTTTGAGTTTCTAAAAAAAAATTCATTGATCTACATGACGCCCCCCATGAAATGTTCCAGCCCCCCCCCCCAGCACCCCCCAGCCCCCCCCCCAGCCCCCCCCCCCCCCATCATCATCATCACACACAGTCAGCGACACAAATCTTAACCGATTAATATTTTTTTTGCTCAGTCATTTATCATACGGTGAACAATATTCTTCTCAAGTGTCAAAATGCGAGGAATTCCCAACAAAATACCGGCTTTTGTCAGTTTCTTTTGAAATTCAGTGGATTGAAGCCAAGTTGATTGTATTCGTACTTTGAACCTGGAGTTGCACTTGACTATGGGGCCATGACAAAAATAAAATATGTTTCCTGAGCAGACTGCGTAGATAATGAGTTTTGGAGTATAGTGTTCATCTGTTTTCTACGTATATTTGTCCAGTTTAGACAGATTCCCCATTTTTTTGTAATGAATTGGCGAAACAATTGTAATTAAAAACGGAAGAACCATAGCGGAAGAACCATATAAGACGGTGTAAGGAAATAACTAATGTTGATATAAAAAAGAATAAAAAAAACATGGATGTAGTAGTATCGCCCCTCTTGAAAAAGGACCACAAATACATTTTTAAAAATCTCAAAAGATAAAACAACAAAACAAAAACAAACACAAAAACCATTTACAAAGAAACTGATGAACATTAAATTGTACAAACATTTTAAATGAAGTGGCCTATACAAAAGTGCACAAGTGCAAGCAACGAGGAACAACATAATAGTTCCCACGGTGGAGCTGCACAGTTGTAAAGTGATCAACAAAAGACTGCATGTATACTACGCCAATGGATATGACCAAAGTGTGAACCAAATGACGTTGCAAAGTACATGTGCTGTGCAATAGCCCTGCTTATATTTACTGCCTGAAGCTTCCTTGATTATTAAAACAAAACCCCGTCAAAGAGGAACAAGGAAGAGAAAAATATTTTCACCCTGGTCCATAAAAAGAAATCCCTAGAATAGAATACGACTGGCTGTGAGGGAGACATTTTGCATATATACCCATACATGTATAATATACCAAGTGAAGGCAATGTTGTTATGGAATAAGAAAATGTATACTGTATGTACATGGTGCATGCAGATAAAAAAAAATCCCAAAGCAGAATACACTGTTTAAATTTAAATTGTAAGGCCCTTTTACATCAAATGGTTTTTTTTGAGAAACATTTTTCTGAGGGATGGGAGGTCATGATTCACAAAAGAAACCTAGTCTGCATGACCCTTAACGAGAGTAATTGTCGGTTATCAGGCAATGTGCATGGCAATTAGGCAAATATAAGGGGGATTCCTACGGCATTATCCAGGTCTACTAGACAATAAGTGTTCATAATTGATCATCACTTATTTTGCTCAAAATTTCCGCGTTTTTGCTTGAAAATGTTGATCTGGGGACCACCAGTTGTTAGGTAGGATTTTCGGAGAAATCCCAAAAAACTAAAAACTGAAAAGAGCAATGTGATGACAATATGTGATGTGTCTATGTACATGTATATTGGTATGTATGGGATACGACATGTGCATTTATTATACCTACTTCAGTGCGTTCAAAACGCATGTGTCAGACTTGTTGTGTACAATATGTACACGTACTGTCATGTCACACCTGTTTTCATTGATCTTTATACTGTCTCCCAATATATACCATTATCGGGGTACGCCATCTTGAAAATCAAAGCGCGGAGATAAAGTCTTGCTTCTATTTGAACTATTACATGTCCCTCCCCCACAAAACGAAACAAAAAGTGCTAAGAAAATAAATCACAAACGACTCACACAATACACAATAAACACTTAAGCAATACAACAAATATAAAAAGAAGCAAAATAGACAATACTCACGCAGTGTATATCCCGTTGTGCTGCCATAGCCAATGCTTTCACCGATGGCATTCTTGGCATACACCCTGATCTCATACTCTGTGTAGTCATCCAGACCTGTTGCTGTGGATGTTGTCTTCCCACCTGTCTCTTCAGTGAAGACCTCTGTGGAGTCTGATGTCTTGATGTAGCTGACACGGAATGACTGAGTCTCACCACCGTCATAGCCAGGTGTCCACGTCACAGTAAGAATCTCTGCCGTGCGCTCAGTTATCTCAACTCTAGTAGGCTTGTCTGGTCGTCCTGAGATACAAAAGTCATAAACAACATAAATATAAAGCAGGATTGTAAAGAAAATTAACAAGTTTCTACCACGAGGGACTAAAGTTTTTTATCCATTCAGTATATGTACCCTAACGTTCTCAAAACTATTACACTGATATTTCAAGTAAATGTTTTGCTTTAATACAATATGGAAATGTAGCGGGTGACTGTTTCAAGCACCTTTGGACATATAGCAGCAGGGACATATCCTCCCTTAGCAACAGGCCCTTACTATGGACAGTATCTATTATTTAAATTTTGTGACATTGAAAGTAGAAAGACCCGCCCTCATGGGTAAGAGTCACTTGCAAGAGATGTAGCCTCTATACATACAGGTACATGTATTTTTATGCCAAGGAAAACAAACTGGAATAATATTAACGAAGCATTATACATATAACCCATTTACTTTCTTACTTGTTCCAAAGAGGGTGATATTCAGTGAGTCCTCTCTCCCGATGCCATTTGAACTGATGCAGGTGTACACCCCGTAATCAACCTGGGAATCTACTGCCTTGATGGTCAACTTGCTTGTGACTTCAAACCCAAAAACTCTGTCTCCACCAGATGTCTCATTGGTTACAAAGAACTTGCCTTCGTCCGTGTCACTGGTGATCATGGTGTTATTTGGACTATACCACTCCATGACTGGCTGAGGATTGCCCACAGCAATGCAGGTTAAGACGGCAGTATCACCATTACTGACTCCTACTTCTTTCATTGCCTTATTGGTGATGTTCACCTCATCTGTGGGGAGAACAAGACAATAAACACACATTATGCATGTCATTATGATATATTTCTCGTAATGAAACCAAGGATTCATCAAAAGTGCCCAAGGCACTGTAGCTCACAGGCATGAAGAAACCTGTAAAGAAGGTGATGAGAAGAAATTACAGTTTTAGAGGTTGGGAGGAAAACCCAAGAAGAATAATCTGGGGGAAACACACGAAATCAGGTAGGGACTGAAAACCCAATCCACACGTGGCCAGGACAGGAATCTAACCCGGGTCACAGTGGTGGAAAGCGAGGGAAGATTTGCTACGCCAACCTGACTGAAATAATGTTCAGTACGTGTATTTCAAGAACTTCACTAACATCAACTAACAGTTACAGTAAACAAACAGTAATTAAAAATGTGATTGACATCATTACTGTAGATGCACAATCTCTCAAAAAGTGAACTTACACTGTACAATGACAGTGATTGGAGTTGAAACCACGTCAGCAGGATTATCCGTAGGCACACCGTTATTCGCTGTACATGTGTAGTAGCCAGCCTGCTCCCTGTTGATGTCACTCAGAGTCAGTGTACTGGTGAGGCCATTCGTTGGGTTAAATGCATCACCTGAACCTTCTTTTTTCCAAGTTATATCAACAGTAGAAGGATTAGCATCTACAGTGCACGTCAGAGTTACATCACTGCCTTCAGTGACAGGGGTTTGCGGAGTTTGAGTCAATGAGGTGAAGTCTGGAGGATCTACAGGGAAGAAAATATCATATTACATGTAACTGAGACATCCACATTATTGTTCGTATGATGCAAATTCAGTTTCAGTGACAATATGTTAACTTCGGCGAGACTCAAGATTGTGAAATACATTTACAGAAAAAATGAAACAGTATGGACAATTTCAAAATACGAGTGGACTTTACGTCTTTTGAGAAATGTTCCTTCCTCAGTTTAGTTATTTAAAAGGTGGAATGAGAAGAAGTGAAAAACGCTTACTTAGATTCAAGCTCGGATCACCTGATTAGAAGTCAGGACTACCTCTTACCAGTCCACGAATCAGCTGCCAATCGTCGGTGATTTGAACATCATTATTCCTCGTTATATCACTTATTCTCTAAAGCCCTGGACATCATGAATATGCATAACGCAGAAAGAGCGCCCTTTTTTATATTGTCCGATCTCGTTTGAAAAAAAAAATCGCCGCCGGGATGAGGAAAGAAAGGCAGAAAACCAATCTTTTTACCTTCATGACTGCAGGGAAGGTTAAAGGCAGTCACAAGATGGCGACAATGGCCAAATCAGCATGTATCAATTTTATTGAATTAGATTGGAGTCTGATAGACCTTTTTTCATGCTGCCACCATTTCAGTCATGTTCCCTGTATCCAATAACAGTACTGAATAATATTTTTCGAGCAAAAGGCAACCAGACTATTTTTCCTTCCAGCCTCGCTTTGGTCACGTTGATTTTAATGGACACTATCCAAATGGCTGCAACGTGATCATGGTCTATTGGCCCTACATTACAGGATGTCTTCCACAAGAAACACTAAATAGAACAATGAGACTTACATCTGACATTCAAAGTATGCATGTCACACAACGGCGTAACACATGATGAGATGGTTGGATTCGTGGCACAGCATATGTACACGTCTCCGTTGTTAGTCTTGTCCAGGACATCAGTTGTGTAGATGACTGTAGTCACTCTGCCTCCATTATCTCCAGGAGCGTTGGGTTGATCAGTGGGCGTGGTTAGCTGTACGCTACCCTTAGACCAGGTGAGAGTGGTAGCTGGGTTGCTGCTCTCTGATATATTGCATCTTAAGGTGACTGTACTGCCTGCTGTTGCGTTTGACCCTGTCACAGTAAGTGAACTGGCACAAACTGAAAATTAGACATAAAAAGCTGATCTCACAAAATGGAGGAGCACAAGCAGCTGCCCCTGCACAACTTCACGTTTCTTTATGGACTTAAAATAAATAGTAGACATTTATCACAGCAAACTTATTATTGTGTGAATACCGTCAAAAAAATGTCGAAACGACGACTACTGGCATGACCGGTACAATCTCAAATTCTGTTATCTCTGGAGTTTTATCATTATTAGTAGATTTCCCAATGAGAACCAATATTCCAAAACATGGATCACAAAAAACCACATACATTCCTAAAAACACATGTATGCATTCACACTGTACGACAACATTGTAATTAGCTCCATGTGGCACAAACTGTCGCCCCAGTCCCCTTCCCCCACCTACTTGCTCTCTATGGTGAGAAACCTAGCTATACCACTGGCTCCATGTACAAAGAGTGGGAAAGTTGTACATGTATACATTTCCAATACAATTTAGTTTACATACAATAATGTACATGTATGGTACATGCTCAATTATTGGTTGTATACATGACGCATAGACATTCACTGAGAGTGGTTCTGCACTGACCCATGCGGAGTTGCATGTCTATTTTATTTTGCTCCATTGTGATATGACTACACTTGTATGAACATTGAATATATAATAATGAGCCACATGGGTCGGTATTACATAACTGATTTTTAAAGAACAATTTCACCTTCCGAGTAACAGAACAACATTCTCACAGAATTCTCTGTATTTTAGAGGAAAATTCAGAATTAGTTCAAGATATTTCATCATCAATGTTAGTTTCAGTTGACTTACACTTGACATCAATCGGCCCCAGAGATCCCACTGGTCCAGGGATCCATGGGGCTCTGTTTGCCGTACATGTGATGTTGTTTCCATTATCCTGTCTCCTTGGTGTGTAGTCCAGCGTGCTGTTGAAGCTGTAGCGATCACCTGATGCTGACGAGCTCGTAGTTGGTCCAGTTACAGGTGAGCCTCCATTGGACCAAACCAAGGTCCAGTCGTCAGGATATCCCATGTCTGCTGTACATGTTAACACGATGGGGTCATTCTCTGTCATTGATGTGCTACCAGCATTGCCTGAGATCACAGGCAAGTCAGGGGGACCTGAGTGAATACAATATGCAATGGTTGTGAGTAGATGAGGAGAAATCGTCTTTGTTGTATTTTCTAACTTTGCTGGTGTCCTAAGCAGCTCACGATATCCCATGTATTCAGTACATTTCATTACAGTCACAACATTCTCAGTCACTGATGTACAGTTTTAGCTGTAGTTATTATTTGATGCACAATGCACTGTTTGTTAAAGAAATCCAGAACAAATAAACAAATGATATAAAATTCTGTCACTGTCTGTTTATGAGCGTTACATCATTTTGGAAATGAAAATGCAACGGTCTTCCAATTGTTGTATCAGAAACCAGAAAAAAAATCTTCATGTACATGTATACATTTTTTTTTTAACAATTCCATTTTTTTAAACTTTATTCTGACAAGAAATAAATAATCAATAAAACAAATTTCACAACGACATTCTATTCACTTTATACATGCATAATTGACATTTGTTTTTCATTGAATTCAAGGCTTCATTACATATGTATGAATGTACCGGTAGCTTTCAATAGTTTTGAAAGACTCAAGATGACAGTTTTCAAATAAGACAAGGAAAACATTTTGCATTAGATAAATTATTTTAATATTGTAAACAAACAAAAACAACGCATACCACTGATATTGAGTGTAACCATGACATATGGGTAAGGTTGCTGTGACTCTGCAGTGTTGGCCACACACCTCACATCCTGTCTGTGATTGTCTCGTCTCGGAGTGAATGTCCAGGTTCTTGTAGTATCAACCAAACCATCGCCTGTGCCTGGAGTGGTTTGTCCAAAGGTACTGTCCTGGTAACTAGGAGAACCGACATCCCACTGGATGGTAGCTGCAGGTCGAGACTGAGCCTGACAAGTGAAGGTGTGTGATGCATCTTGGTCTACGCTGACTGAACCTCCTGGTGTGAACGCTCCATTGGAATCATACATTGACATGAATGAGGTCTTGGGTGGCACTGGTTGCAAATATAAAATAGGAAAGTTCACAGAGAATTACTGGTATGCCATAGCACATCACCCACAAGTGCATACATTTAAATTCGACTCAAAACGTACAAAATACATTGTAGATGTAAGTTCATCTGCTTTTTAAAAATGTCAATGAAAGACTGTGGTAAATGACAAATTAACCCTAACCCCCTAGGCCTTTTTTCCTTGGAAAAATCCCCTATCCTGCAAAATCCTCCAATTGCCATCATGTAGTAATTGCATTCTGCCCCAATCCTCCAAAACGTAACGCATCCGTTTTTCTTGACTTAATTGTTCAATGGAGGGGTGACCACTGCTTCAAACTGTCAAAATCCTCCAATTATCACTAGCACTGTACACGTAACACGTTTAGGCAGTGCAATACTTTAAGCAAGGCGGATGGCGTTACATCCAGTTTTCCTCTATCATGTATGGCTGGACATAAACAATGCAGGGTACAATTTTAATTCTTTAAAAAGACTTTGACACAAATGGCCCAATTGAGTGCAAAGAAAGTGCTTTACACGTATTTCGATTCCTTCCAGTGAAATTCCTTCCAGTGAACAATCATGCATTCTAATAGAGGAGAAACATGCTTGTTCCAATAGAAATCATTCCAGAATTTAATATTATGGAAAATACAAATACCTTTAATGTCAAGTGTGATGCTGATGCTCATCCCAGCATGTCCATCTTTATTGGAAGCCTGGCACTGTAACATCTTTCCGTGGCTGCTCCATGCTGGTGATACGGTTGCCAGACTAGTGCTGGTAGTTAAGTCATCAGCACCTGTAACATTCACGGTGTTATCGGTTGTGATGGCCCCACCATCCAGAGACCAAGTGAATAATGCTCCTGGGTTGATGTCTGGTACCTCACAGGTGAACTGACGGTTCACACCGTCAACAAGATATGATGTACCGCCAGTAGAAGGGTAACTTCCAGTTGAGTCGGATAGGGTGATTATTGATGGAAGCACTAAATTCATACACATACAAAGAGTACTCTCTTACTGGAGAACTTGGCCTGCAATTAATGTAAATGCCTACAAGTGCATTGAACATCATAAAAAAACCCAAAATTCCTGGCCCCTAAGGGGAATGGATGACTGACATGGCTGATGGTGTATACATGATAATTTGCGGTGTAAGCGCTTCCATTGTACACACGTACCGGTATATAAATTTGACATTGTTTTTCAATTTTTTTTGCACATCCAGGAACTTCAAAATGTATTAGTCTACCTGTACCTGGGTACATATGTACATGTAGTAATAATTTTTTTCAATAGCATTAACCGGGTCCAATGAAGACCTGCCACTGAGTGGCGTAGCCAGGAATTTCTCAGGTGGGGGGGGGGGGGGGGGGGGGGGGCGATGGGAAGGGGGGGGGGCGGGAACATTTCATGAGGGGGGGTGTCATGTAGATCAATGATAATTTTTTTTGAAACTCAAAATCTCAGTGGGGGCGACTGGGGGGCGACAAGGTTTCAAAAGGGGGGGGGGGCTGTCGCCCCCCCCCCCCCCCCCCCCCCCCCGTGGCTATGCCACTGCTGCCACTCAATAATATGCCACAGTGACATCCCCTAATTTCCTGCAGTTCTCCAAGTGGGAGACGTATTATACTCTCTGAGATATATATACATGTATTGAGCAACCCTTCAACATTTATTTTCAACGTATCAATTGATCGGTATAAATTAAGAAAACAGGCGACAGCAGACAGGCAGCGAATCTGCATCCCCACAAAGCCGCCAAGGCAAAGCCTCCACATCACTTACAGTTTTGCATACAGAAAATTGTGGTCTAAATATATAATACGTCGTTGTGTATATAGGTACAAACTATTGATTTATTCGGTTGAGTACCGGGTGAATTAGAATAAATCTACTTTAGCATTGATATGTAAATGAAAATGAGACATGGTAAGGTGGTTACTAAGGGCGGGTAATTTGAATAAGGAGTGGTACAGGCACGTGTACGTGTTTGGATTGAAGCTAGATCACTTCACGCTTGCGAGCAGCAACGACAACACACTTTTTTTAACACCGGTAGTTATCAGATTTTGTTGTATGGTCAAACGAAGCAATAATGGTAAAGTGCCTTGCTCAGGAGCACAAGCACCATGTTCCCACGGTCAGGATTCGAACCCATGTACCACGGCACACGAGTCGAGCACCGTAACCATTGGACCACAGCGCCCCACTAGGAAATGTTCATGAGATCCACGGGCTCTTTGTTTGATATTTTGTGGGACTTAGAATATTTGTAAAATCCATGGACTACTCTTTTCCTATATTTTGGACTGTACCCAGGCTCCGTACAACACACTCCCATTGACAAGCGCTTTGATAGCCTGTCTTTAAGTGACCTTACATACCAGAGATAAATATCTTGAGTGAGTGGCAAATTTGAATGTTGTCAGTTGTATTCTGAGAAGCACTTGAAGCAGTCGGGAAAGGAATACATAAAATGAAATGAGACAGGTTGTGTTTTGAGGTTCTTTTCGCGTTGAGATAATTTTAAAATGGGAATGAAGTAGTTTGTTTACCTGAAAATTGTGTAAAGTTTATTTAATTGTGTTTTTCATAATACCTATGTAAATATAGTTACATGACATGATGAGACATCAAGTAAACTTTTACACAACTGTCAAGATAACTTTCACCAAACACGCGTTAGGTAACTTTTTTCATAAACGAGTTCGTACAGACAATATAACACATGGGTTTTTTTTGAGAGTGTAGGACTGCTGAGTGTGCTTAGAATAAGCACATTATTTTGCATTACCGCCATATGCATGTGCATTTCCAACATGGAGAGATTATACTTTAGTTGCAATCATTGTTTGGGCATCCATTTTCTAAAAGATGCTTTCTATTTTGTGACAACCTATTTTACCACACTATTTTACCACTATTTTTTAAGAAGCTATTTTTTTACTGTCACTTTTTTGATATTTGTGTGGGTGGCGAAATACAATGGAGAACAAAAGTAAAAACGTATTTTCAACAGGGACAAAACATTGTATGTTTTTTTCTTTATTTTTTATCAACCAGGGAAATGACACCATCAATGTACTCACCATAAACTATTAGATTGCTGGTTGCTGTGCTACCATAAACATTCACACCTACTGTATACTCCGCCCTGCAGCTATATTCTCCATCATCAGCAGAGAATTGAGTACTTGCTATCGTCAGAGTACTCATTGAATCATCCCTGGAAACAACATATCCAGGAGCAGAAAATCCATTCTGGTAGTATGGTGTCTGGGCTCCTCCGAAAAAGTCAGCAATAACAGTGCCTCTCTGTCTCCATGCCACGTAGTCTAAGGCACCAGACACATCCAGTGAGAAGGTACAGGTGAGTGTTGCTGATTGGCCTTGTATAGTAGATACTGGTAACAGGGTGACGGTGAGTGTTTGGGTGTGGACAGTTGGTGGAAAATCTTTAAGAAAGGATACATACACGACTTTTAAGTCGTATTAATTAGAAACAGTGTAGACAAAAACAAACCAACAATTAAAAACACATAATGAAACAGCTAATGGGCGAAATGGTTTACAAAATAAAAATTCCAAATGAATTTAAATGATCAATTATTATTAACAAATCACACAGCACATTTTGTTTATTTCTCACATTTCAACGTAAAATAATGTAACTTTATTTTCCTAACATTCAACTGTTTCAATAGTCATGTCTGTATGGATTGAAATATTAATGGCATAAACCTGAAAGATTTCTCTCTAAAAAGATTTAGGCTATTTCATAAACAGATTTGTACAACTTTATGGGAATCATTTTTTAAATTCTGACCATAACCTTTTTCACCGTGTTCAATGGCAGTGTACCTGGGCCTAAATTGGGGTGGGGTTGTTCAAATTGGGCCGTATCATAAGTCCGACGCCTCATAGGTCCGACGCCTCACAAGTCCAAAATGTCAGACTTATGAAGCGTCCAACTTGTGAGGCAGAAAACTTTATTTGTTCCGCCTCATAGGTCCGAAGCATCATAAGTCCGATGCCTCATAAGTCCGACGTCGGAAAAACAATGCGTTTAATTTGTCGGACTTACGAGGCGTCGGAGCTATTAGGCGTCGGACATGTGAGGTGTCGGACTTATGAGGCGTCGGACTTATGATACGGCCCAATTTGAACAACCCCACCCCAATAAAAATGGTGAAATGCTAGAGGGTATTTTATCTACAAAATGTTGTGAGGTAGCACTTTCGTTCCGAAATAATTGCCAAATTCCCCCCCCCCCTTACGTAGCTGGATACGGTGTCATAGACAAAAAATAGTGACTATATTTGACCTTTTATAGACTCTAACGCTCATATGACCTGTCCCTGTCCAAATTATGTTTACTATTGCATGACAACAAATCAATATTGCATAGAGTCCCAATTTTACATTGCAGTGGCAACCACAATTTCTGGCAAAACGATGAGTATACAGTGAACATGTAGGCAAAAAATATAAAATGCAGCGTATACTTGAGCGTAAACCGTCTAGGTGCCGATAGACACTTTCAACATGTAATATCTTTAAAAGAATACCGTTGATATACTGCAATCACTACATGAGGTAAAACAACATTATTTATGCGAGAATAACCACCACCGTTACGTTTTACAAGTGCTTGCCTTTAACGTCCCACATTGTTGTACAGGACGCGCTGCACATGACTTTTGTAAAGCGCTAATGATACCGAGATTATTAAATTCACCGTTTAAACTAAATGACAGGCATAATCCCCACGGAATAATACAAACATAATGTATTCAGTTTCCTGCTGTGTCTGCCCACAATTTCCATATGCCACACGAAGACAACGTTACCCCACATACAAAAATGGTGTATGTGATCTGTTAAAGAAACAAAGCCCGCCTCTCATCTCCAAGAATTTGTGACTAGAATGTCTTACCTCCAAGAAAACATAGCAAGCTGGCTGCTATGGTGTATACGCTGACTACCGACGCCATTTGTACGCTGACTGAACGGCACAACTATAAACTCCGGCTAACGACGTCAGCTTAAATACACGGTGGTATTTACTCGTACATTTTTACAATGAACACATCGACTGAAGTTCGGTGAACCCGGAGATGGTTTTATTCGGAACCAAATATGAATAAAAGTATTACACCTTTAACAAGAGAGACTACAGACCCGGGGTCGTATTCACAATACTTAATCACACTGAAATCCAACCACCCTGCTAACTTGAGTGGGGCGTTTAATTTAGTATTCACGAAAGAAGAACCCCACTTTGTTTATCTAAGTACATGTAGTGCTAAACTAATAAAGCAATCACTCTTGCTCATGCGCACAACATAAGCGTTATAAAGTTTCCTATGATCAAATTACGGAAGTTCAATCGTTTAAATGAAAGTTTAGACTTGGCCCAAATCTGGGGTTCGCTTGGTCTGTGTCTGTATAGAGCACACACACATCCGTACATTTTGAGCTGTGCTACATTCACTCAAAAATGAGATGCTTGGCAAATTACATTTCGAAAGTCAGGCACAAAGCTGCAACATCAATATTGATAACCAAAACCGAAATAATTATGAACAAACACAGCTATGGCACTTGCTAACAACTCCAATTGACACTGAATAACGTCACCACCGTCTCCAGCATGACCCCACAAGTGGCGTATCCAGATGGAGGGGGGGGGGGACTTTTTGAGAAATATTTTGTTTCCAGCAATTATTCCAATAAATGGTTCGAGAGTTCTGACACCAATCCCCCAAAAAAGAAAACCCGCTCAAAAACCATTACAATGCGCCGTGAAAATGGGAATATAATTTGCAGTATGCATAATAATGGTAAGTTTTGAAGAGCCCCCCCCCCCCCCCATTTGGAAGACTGGTCCGCTCATCATGTCTACATCTCGGCGCGAATGTGCGGTTGCCCCCCCCCCCCCCCCCCCAACCATGACATCGAAAGCTAGATACGCTACTGGACCCCGCACTACAAGACAGAGCCAACCTATCACAGGAACAAGTCAACAACTTCATCCACACCTGATCTCCTCCACTTGTTTGCAGTGGAGGAACCAGTTCTATGACCAATCCACTGGGGCCGCCATGGGATCTCCTCTATCCCCGGTCCTGGCGGATTTGTTCATGGAAGAGTTCGAGAGCATCATCACCATCGAGGCTGCAGACTTCAAACCAGATATGTGGCTACGCTACGCGGACGACACCTTCGTAATTTAGCAGCACCCCTTCATCAAGCTCACCATGGAACAAGAACAGAACAACACCCTAGCCTTCCTCGATGTCTAAAGTTACCCGGCATCTGGATGGCTCCATCTCCCATACAGTACACCGCAAGCCCAAGCACACCGACCGCCACCTACACAGGACATCCTTCCACCACCCACGCTTCAAGTCCGCGGTCAGCAACACCCTACTACGCCGAGCCTGTAACACCTGCAACCAAGTCCGTCTCAAAAAAAGAGCTCCATCACATCAGGACATCCCTCAAGTTCAAAGGCTACAAGAACACCAACACCCACAATCCCAAACCAGCAACCGCACAGGAACAGCGCCCCCTCAATTCAACGCAACTGACACCCTACCCTACATCGGCCACATCTCCCACAAGCTACAACGCGTCTTCAGCCAGGCCAACATCAAGGTCAACCACACTGATCCACACAATAATTATACAAGCCCAACTACAGACACACAAGGACAACACACCCAAGCGCACCTGCAGCATCCTACATCCGACTCACTTCAGCGCACAAGCAACCATTGCATCCTTCCTCCAACATACCCCAGCACACAGGCATCTGGTCACGCCCAACTGCACACGCACAGCCCTAAACCTCCAGCATCATCCACATCTCATCACTCACCCTCCTGAGGACGGACAGAGCGCACTGTCTGAAACGTCGAGATTTACACTCCATCAACCGGTTCTTTCCAGAACCACACTTCTTCCAAGAGGAGATTTCTTTCCACATGGTGTTACCCGCAAATTTTATAATTTAACTAATCCCCAAGCAAAGCTTCAAGTCATGTATAGTGTATAACTTCAAAAGTCAACTGCTGCATTGTTTGCTATTTCTTGTCCACACAAAATGCCTGGTTTTTAAAATATTCCAAGGCCAGGCGCTCCGATGACGCAACCTAAGACACAAAGTTTCGCAGGAAGTTATCGTATTTCATTGGAATCGAAAGTAAATGCTGGCACGACTAAATGGATCCCTTAAAAAATGAGCTCAAAGTTGTTAGTTCATTTAACGATGTTCTTTAAATTGTTTACTGTGTTTACAAAAATTTCAGTGTTAGGTACAAATTACGACTGAACTGTCTCTTTCAGATTATAATAATGATAAAGCCAGCGTTCGTTGATTGCATGGTTGTATAATTTTGATTAATGCTTGTTCATTGATTATGCATGTCATTCTTGAATGAGCAGCACAACTTAATAAACTTATTTCTCAAAGCTCTGCTACATATATAAATTGTGCATCTGTATTTCCATCCACTTTTACAGGAGTTAAATCTACCCCTCCGGGGCGGTTCCTACATTTGACGTTCTTTACTGCATTCAAATTCTCGCTAAAATGAATGACTCTGAGGCAAGTTTGGGTAGTACTTTGTTTAATTTGAACTGGATGTGTCAGGCGAAGTTGGGAACAATAAGGATTTGCTACAGTTTACCCACTGGGACATTATCTTAACAGACTAAGATTCTTGGTTTTTTTTTAATCCGTAATCCGATGGTTAGCATATCATTTTTTTTTTTCATATTTCATCAGTTCACGCTTCTCTGTTTTTTTTTCTTGCACTCACTATCGTTATTTCTTAAACTATGGCTGAATCACTTATTAATGAGGGCGCTCTTCAAAATATGCAATGCATTGCAGTCCTTTATAGCTGAATGAATGGAGTTCTCAGACTCCTAGTTCTTTTCAGAACCTCACAAACTCACGAAAGCGCTTCGTATCACTTGGTGCATCCGTAAACTGACTCTTACTGCTTACTTTACAGTGTAAACCTTCAAATCATATCTAACGTGTTTATTATGCGAGTTTTGTTTAATCTAGACTACATTCCCCCCAAAGTAAATGTAGGTTTTCTTTCGCCATATAAAAAAAAAATGGTTCAGGTTCATTCTAAATAGCTAAAAAGACTACTCTAAAAGACTGTTACGAATCCCCATCAAATATGCATTAATACGTGCTTTGTAATGATGCATTGTTAAAATATCTCGATGTCTATAATTTACATTTAAAAAAAATGGTCATTAAATAAAATCTGAGGGGAACTATATATTTTCAAGTACTCACTCCTGCTTTCAATAGGAATTCATTCCAATAATCTCATCCTGTCTTCAAACGACTACTCTATATTGACATGAGGCAGTATCTCGCAAGAGGCTTTATGAATCGTGCAATTATTGGCTCCATTACCACGTACAAGCATTGGCTTCTGTCAACATCATCAGTTGTATATTAAGACAAATTTGGTTGATTGATCGAATAAATTGAATATATGTTTGACCTAAAGCAACCAAATCCGAGCCATCCGAGTAATAAAATTATAATTATCGTTCATTGAATGGGACTTTTATGCATACTATGCATACTTTATCCCCGAATACGTTTACGATACATTTGCTTTTTGATAGATTGACATTACATTCATTTTAAAACGAAACTTTAAAATTAACAATCTCCGACTATTTGCAAACATAAATACATTTTGGGAAACTGCCTCAAGCAAATTGTGTTCAGTATAATTAACACTAAAATGTAAAAAAAAAAAAAAACACCCGGTTTTCTTTTCTGAAAAAATAAACCTTTATCATTCTTTTCACAGTTTTCGAACCTAAAATTACTGTTTTATTAATACTTTACATGACGCTTTTCTCAATTGAGTTTGTGTTTTGACGTGTCATTAGGTCTAATATGTCATTGCGTTTTACAAAATGGTCCTGGCATCCCAAATGTAAAGAAAAAAAGCGGTTTTGTTTGTAACAGTATAGGCTCATCCGCCAAATGTTATGTCATGTAAATTATTAATAACTATCGCTCCGCTGGTTTGGCTAAGCAAAATACTTTCCTATGCAACATCTTATGTTAAGCGGCTCTATCAAATGTCGCCATGAAGATTGGCACATGACCCACCATAATTACACCTTTTCGCCGGCATCATCTTTCAGCGCGACTTCATAGATGCTCTCCTCGAAATCATCGAGTGATATGTACTCCTGTAAATCAAATGATGATATCCAATGTATCTGATTTGTTTGGAATTAAAGACTTAAGTGCAACATCCTATCTCATGTTTGCTATTATGATAAAAAGGCCTTCTTTGGTTTAGTTCAAATGGACCAATGTTTATTGAGCAAGAGCAAATTTCAAGAAAACTTTGTTTTTAACTCAAAATATCTGAAATTTACCATATTATCTGGCAGGTTTTTACTTCAATACTCATGGATGGTTTTTGAAAGAGCCTATTCATTTAGAAACGCAAACTCTATTTAACAGTAGTTTCAAACTCATTTTTTCTAGGGGGGGGGAATTGATTTTTAGTACCAATTCAAAATGACATCCTTGTTCTAAAGGTTAGGTACGGCAGACAAAGTGAAACATAAATCGCCACTACTCCGTTGTTAACCCTAAATGGGCCCGGCTTTTTTTTTTTTTTTTTACAGTTCTCAGAAGCGGGGGAGGAGCGACCCCCCCCCCCACACACACACACACACACCCTCCCCAAGATATCGGTTGTCTCATTACAAATATTTTTGAAAGTTGGCATGCATGCACACACATCCATTATTAGTACATCACATAACTTTCTATTCAAACCGACAAAATGTTTTACCATGGTCATTTACCATGCATATATGTAGTTCACACTCTCAGGCGTGTGATTCAAGCACGGTCGATGGGAAGATTAACATTTTGGCCTACTCGACCTGGAAAATGGACATTTCGCGAAAACGGTTTATCCGA